TTAATATTCACAAAAGCAACAAGGGGTGCAAAGAGGTGAAAGTAGGAGGATGTCCAGGGAAGGCCTTTCCAAGGAGACATCGAGGTAAAGACCAAGTAAGGAAGAGATGTTGGAGGGAGAGTAAAATGGGCTTGAGAAAAACTGCACACTGTAGATTCCCATGAGTTAAAATACAAGTAAAATTGTTTTTAAACACAGAAAGGAAGGAAGAAAGGAAGGAAGGAAGGAAGGAAGGAAGGAAGGAAGGAAGGAAGGAAGGAAGGAAGGAAGGGAGGGAGGGGAGGGGAAGGGCTGGGGATGCAGCTCAGTGACAGAGCATTCCCTGTGTTCACTCCCCAGTGCCACACACACAAAAGTATATTGTTTGATAATATGTAATGAGTTTTTTTTTTAATATTTATTTTTTAGTTTTCGGCAGACACAAGACCTTTGTTTGTATGTGGTGCTGAGGATCGAACCTGGGCCGCACGCATGCCAGGCGAGCGCGCTACCACTTGAGCCACATCCCCAGCCCTATAATGAGTTTCTTGTCCCTTTAAAATGAGTCAATGAATGCTTTTGTCATCTCTCAGTCCCTATTCTAAAACAGTAAGTATCGATGTAACCCACACAGGCAAAAGCTCCCGGGAGTCCTCCATGGTCTTGAGAGCTCGGGGAGCTCTGAGGGCTGACAGCTTGTGAAGTGCTGTGTGATCAAGAGCATATACCTCTCCCCGAGTGGGAGTTTCAATTCAGATAATACCAATTTGGGATGGTGCCCATTTTTGCCAAAGGTGGGGTGTCCTACCCTTCTGTTGACCCAGAACTTTAACTTACAGCCTGTTTCAGCGCTGGGCAGCAGGGGCTTCTCAAGGCCTGGGATATGGCATCTTGATACATGGACAGAGAGTTTTTCTTCCTCCACAGAAGGCCTCAGGATCCAAGGCCAGCAGGCCACATGGATTTTCCTTCCTGCCTCTCTTTCTCAGCTTCTTCTGGGGATCACGGAACAAACCCCATGTTTACTCTTTCCACCATCTCCTTCACACTCTGCAGCAGCTTGCATCCCTTCTCAAATCAGCAGGGCCATCTGAGTCAAGGCCATCCCACGTTCTGTGGGTCATAGTTACTGTGGAGGTAACCTGCTGCCTCCAGCTGTGAGGGCGGCAAGCACTCCTGGTTTTATGATTAGGATCTTATCAGCTCTCCAAGAAGCCCCCTGATCCCCCTCCCTGTGCACACAATTTGACTCCCCTGGATTGGGCATATTTGTTCTGTTCAATCCTAATTCTTCCAGATGTTTACCTGTGCTTCAATATTTAAGTGGATGGACTCAGCGCTCAGGGCTATACCCTCACCCTTCTGGAGTGGATTATATTGATTAATCTCTTGGTTGACTCCATTCCATCATCAAGATGCTCTTCCCAGAAAGCTGGTGGCTGCTATATTCCTTGAGACAATTTATATTTGGGAAGGTCTCTCTGTCACCTTTGTGCTTGAATGATGGCTTCTGGGTCAAATAGTTTGGGGGCACATTTCTCCTTAGAACTATGTGAACACTCACTGGTTCATATCTTCTGCATGAAATACGACTGTGGAGGTGTCTCAACCAGCCTGGCATCTATGGGCTACTTGATTTTTCTGGTTGGATTCCTGAAAAAGTCTTTCTTTATCCTTGATGTTCATGAATGTAGAGTGGGTCTCAATACCTATGGTCAAAAAAATTTTTTTTTGTAATTTTTCTTCTTTCTTTCTTTCTTTTTTTAAAGAGAGAGAGAGAAGAGAGAGAATTTTTTTTAATATTTATTTTTCAGTTTTCGGGGAACACAACATCTTTATTTTATATTATGTGGTGTTGAGGATCGAACCCAGTGCCCCGTGCATGCTAGGCGAGCGCGTTACCGCTTGAGCCACATCCCCAGCACAATTTTTCTTCTTTCTTTCTTCTTATTATTTTTAAAATAAGACATTTTAAATAGCCTATTAGGGTTAATTTTCCTCAATTTCAAAGAAATTATCCAGTGTTTTATTTTTTATTTTTCCTTTCATTCCATTGTTGGATTCCTGGTTTGAAGAGCATTCTCATGTCATGGTCCCCTCTCCCTGTACTTCTTTGCCCTTTATTTCACATGCCTGGTGATCATCTCACACTGTCAGATTCTCTTTCAGCGGTACCTATTCTGTTTCTTGCTGTTTGGGAGTCCATTCGATTTGTAGTGTCCGTGGCTTGGTCCTGGGGTCCTGTCTTGAGCTCCCATGCTGCCAGGTCTCTCAGTTCTGTCACACAGAAGTGCAGTTGGGCAAGTTCCTTTCTGCCATCAGTTGAGTTTCCCCCACTCTTGTTCCTATGCTTGTCTTTTTGTTTTAACATTGCTGAATTTTCCTTTGCAGATTAAAAAACAAACTGCAGAATGCAGCCCAGGATCCCAGCTTGCATTTGGTAGGAAGCGCTCTTTGGTCTTTTCCAGCTGCCACAACAGAACAGCACTGTAAACAACAGAGGATTGCTTTCTGACTACTCCAGAGGCTGGGAAGTCCAAGATGAGGTGCCTGTCTTCCTGCCTCGGCAGGTGTGTTCTGGTGAGGCTCCCTTCCTGGCTGTGGATGACTCCCTCCTTGCTGGGTCCTCACTGGCAGGCAGAAACTGAGCTCTCTGGTGGCTGCTTATTAGGGCACTGATCCCTTTGTGAGACCCCACCTCTGACCTCATCTAAGCCTAACTACCCCCAAAGGTCCTGTCTCCAAATCCTCTCACACTGGGGGTTAGGACTCCCACACAGGGATTTTAGGGGGACACACTGTTCCGGTCACAGCAGCCACCTCTGAGCAGCAGTCTCCCTCAGCCTTTCTTCTTCTTTTCGTCCTTCATGGCGCTCAGCTTCTGGCTTCGTTTCGGTGGCCCTGCACTGTGCTTGCGCATCAGCCGAGTTCTTTCTTTCCATCTGGTTCAGGGTAAGCCAGGCCCTGGCTTAGGCCTTCTGTCTGCTCTGACATTGGGTGGAGAAATCTTCCAAATTCCTCCCATCTTGTAGGGGACTGTTTATCTTCCCCTCTGTATCAGTTAGGACTAAGTTCAGCTGCATATATCAGGAAAAAAATATAATAGTGGCTTAAACAAGAAAGATTTATGTCTACTTGCATGCTCTGGAAGAAATCTGGGCAGGAGCAGAGCAGAGTGGGCATGGTGGTTTTGTGTCAGCACTGGGCAGGCTCCTAATAGGCTCAGACCCACTTGCTTCTCACAGCAAGGCCACCCTGACCAGGCACGACTTCTCTAGTATTCTGGAGTGAGGACATTTACAGAAGGAAGATTAGGGAGAAGAATCCCACCGGGCTGCTGCCTTAGTCCTGAGGCTGTAACGCCCCTCTCCCTTTCCTCATTCTTCTCTCTCTGCCTTCTGCCCACCCCACCTTCTCCACTGGGTCCTTCCAGCCAGCTCCCTTAGGAGGCCTTCCTGCCTATGGACTCTAAGACCAGGATTGCCTAGCCTGGTTGTCTGTGGGGCTCTGCTGCTGTGCTCACAGAGCTGGCTGAGCCCTCCCTGCTCTGCCTCCCTATGTAGCACCATCAACAGTCCCGAGGAGGAGCCCTAAGTGACTGGGTAGCAGCCACAGCTTTAGGGCCAACAAAACTTGTACTGTCTCCCATGGCATAAGACCCATTCTAACCCCTGGACCTCAACCACAGAGCCTGGAGGTGGTTGACAGTGAGCTGCTTCCATGTCTTGTTCTCCAGACCCGTGACATGTTTACCCATCAGTTCTCTGGGTAGCTCTGACTTCAGTGTTGGGGGATATTTTGTTTAATGATGAAAACAACAGTAAGACAATGACCAAGAAAGCACATTAGAACTTCACTTGCATGTCCAGGATACAGGTGACCCCTTTGCTCAATCTGACACAGTTTTAGAATACTGGAAAAATATTTCCTCAGGGGCTGGGGTTGTGGCTCAGCAGTGGAGTGCTTTCCTCGCATGTGTGAGGCACTGGGTTTGATCCTCAGCACGGCATAAAAATAAATAAGCAAATTAAAGGTGTTGTGTCCATCTATAACTAAAAAAATTTAAAAAGAGTTTTTAAAAACTTCCTCATTTTTTGGATGCAATTAACAAAATAATGGCTATAGGCAATCCATCACTTTCTTAATTCAGGCAATCCACACAAAAGAAACAAATCAGGCCCTGATTTGCAGTGTTTGCCAGTTTTCCTAGTAAATATCAATTTAAACTACCAATTTGCTATACTGAGCGCAGTGGAAACATATGGGGAGCTTTTCCCCAGTTCAAATATATTCCCCACTGTCCACAAATTCACACATGGTCTCACTTGGCCATTTTTCTCCCTATTCAAAGTGAATGACAAATTACATGGCTGGAAGCTCTGCCTTTGGGAGAATGTCCTCCATCCCTGTCTTTCAGGAACACCTGACTGACGCTGTTGTGTATTTTCTTCTGCCTCCAAATACTGAAGTGATCCATCTGGAATCAAGTGGTGCTTTCCCCAATCAGCTGGTCACTGTGAAATCTCCTGAGGCCATAGGTATGAGTTGAGGAATGGTGTTGGTGTGATTGTAGAAGGTCACCTGGGAGCGGCCTGTTTGTGTCCTTTGGGCCTGCTATGCCATGCCCCAGATGTGTCACTTCAATCAGATGGTGGGTTGCTGTTGGGCCCACCTGAAAGAAGACTCGGAAGGTCTGGCAGAGGCAGCTCATTTTGGGAAGTTCTGACCATTGCACACTCAATGTCTCATAGGAAACCTGTTTTTTTTTTTTTTTAACCAGGGTCTAGATAAGCCAGGGCTACTTTTTGGATGGCCTATAGTTCTCTGCTGCATAATACACAGACTTTCCCAAGAACCCTAGGGGGCTACACTGTGACTCTCCTATGGGGGCTCACCAGAGACTCACATAGCATCTTCTTCAAGCACAGATATCTCTTGTCTTTTCTGTTGCTATAATAGAGTGCCAGATTAATTGTAAAGTACCTGGTTAACTATAAAGAATAAAAGTTTCTCTCACTCACGGTTCTGGAGGCAGGGAGTCTAAAAGCCTGGTACCAGCTTCTGGTGTGGGCCATGCTGCTTCATGAGAAGTCACAGGGCATCATGTGGTGAGACAGGGTTAACTGCTAGCTCAGGTTTCTCTTCCTCTTCTTATAAAGCCACTGTTGCAATCACAAGGCCCCACCCTTGAGATCTTGCCTAATCCTCATTATCTTCCAAAGGCCCCACCTCCAAACACCATCAGCATATGAATTTTAGGTTGAGTTTCCAACACATAAAACTTGGGGGACATATTCAAACTGTCTTACCTCTGGTTGTACTGTATCTGCTGCGCAGCTCTGGTGCTTGTGTGGCCCCTGGAACAAGCCCTGTTTGCTCTTGACCCAATTCTAAACACCCCCCTATTCCTGGCCAGTCCTAATAAAGGGTTGGATCCACATTCCCAAGTGAGAACAGTGCTCCCCCAAGATCCTGGAGAGCCGGAGCAGACCCTGTGCTTCCTCCTAGTGGTGGGAGATGCCAGGTACAGTGCCTCACCTTTCATGGGATGTGGGGGGAGGCGTTTCCTGGCAGGCCTCAAACCTGGGGAGGCTCTTGACTCTGTCCTTGAAGCTCAGCATCTCACGGTGTCTTTTGCCCCAGCCCGTCTGTGTTAAAGTCACACGTCAGTGAAGCGGATCAATGTCCATTTTGCAAGTGATTTAGGTCCCTTTGTCTTTGACAGAAAGCAGAAGTAGAACCCTTGGGCCCACCGTGAGTGGATGTCGCTGTCCACCCGGGAACACGGGTGAGCCTTTTGGCTATCGCCCTTCCACAGCACCTTGGGGACTACTAGTAGCCTGCCTACCACCACGTCATAGGGCCATCTCTGGCTCTAACTACTTTCACTCAGGTTCCAGAAGCACAGCCTGCAACAGGGACTCCTCTCAGTGATGTTCTGTCCTGTTCCTGATTTAAATGAAAAAGGTTTTAATATTTTCCATTTAATATTGCCTGCTGATGTTTTTTGTTAAATGGGCTTAATCATATTATAGATTCCTATTTTATATTCCTATTTTATATTCCTTCTATTCCTGTTTTATATAGTGACTAAACTTTCTTCACATGTTAATATTCATTTGTTTGGTGCACTGTCTTATGAATTTCAAGAAATGCTTGCAATCTGAGAACAATTTCATCCCCCTCTGAAGTTGCCAGCTGCTGATGTTCCTTTGTAACCGCTGCTGCCTGGGTCTGGCACTCACCCGTCTGTCCTGACCTTTCCCACAGCTTTGCCTTCCTAGAACACCAGGGAAATGGAATCACAGGCAAGAGGCTGCTGTGTTTTGAACATGGTTTGTGTCCCCCGAGGGTCTACTGGGATTAAAGGCTTATTCTCTGTGCATGCTATTGGGAGTGGCGAAACCTTCTGCAGGGGGCTGGTGGCAGGTCCTTGGGTCACTGGGGCATGAGGTACTTCTCTAGGTATCCCTTTGGTAATTCTCATGAGAAGACTGTAATGAGTTTGGGTTTGGTCCTACCCAGACTTCTCTGCTCTTGATTCGAGATGTAGTTGCTTGCTTGCACCTGCCCCAACTCCGGCCATTGATGTCACCCAGCTGGGAACTGACCCAGTACCAGTGCCCTACCCTTGAGTCTTCAAAACTGTGAGCTATGGGCTGGGGCTGTAGCTAAGTGGTAGAGCATTTGCCTAGCATGGGTGAGGCACTGGGTTTAATCCTTAGCACTGCATAAAAATAAACATAAAATAAAGGCATGCTGTCCATACACAACTAGCAAAAAAATGTTATTTTAAAAACTGTGAGCTAAATAAACCTCCTTTACTACATGAGTAGCTCGTCTCAGTTATTATTTCATTGTAATACTGCAAGCTAGTGCCTTCTAATCCTGAATTTTATACTTGGCGCAATATAAAGGTGGCATATCTGAGATCTGAGATGCATCCACATTATGGCATACAGCAATAGTCTGTTTCTTAAAATGTGCTGCAGTTTGCTTACTCAGCCATCAGTTCAAGGCTACTTGCATTGTTTCCAGTGTTTGGCAAATATGAATAAGGCTGCTATACATACGCATGTGTGGTTTGTGTGTGTGTGTGTGTGTGTGTGTGTTTTAAAGAGAGAGAGAGAGAGAGAGAGAGAGAGAGAGAGAGAATTTTTTAATATTTATTTTCTAGTTATCGGTGGACACAACATCTTTGGGTTTTTTTGTATGTGGTGCTGAGGATCGGACCCGGGCCGCACGCATGCCAGGCGAGCATGCTACCGCTTGAGCCACATCCCCAGCCCCGTGAATGTGTTTTTTTAAATATTTATTTTTTAGTTTTAGGTGGACACAATATCTTTTATGTGGTGCTGAAAATCGAACCCAGTGCCTCATGCATGCTAGGCAAGCGCGCTACCACTTGAGCCACATCCCCAGCCCCGTGAATGTATTTTCATTACTCATGAGTAAAGACCTGGGAGGGGGATTGATGGGTCACAGGGCAAGTATATGTTTGATTTCATAAGAAACCACTCAGACAAGTAGTCTACATTGGAGAAGTGAAAGGACGTGTGTTCCTCAGTTGTTGTGGGGCATGTTCTGTAGCTAAGCTGCTTTGATTTCTGAACTTTTGGGTCTAGACTATTGGTCTGGTTCTGGAGACTAATTCTATCAATTTTTGTTTCATGTATTTTGAAGAGGTCAATCATTTCCCCTTTCTGTGAATTGATCTTCTATCTTTAGAAAGTGTATTTTGTATCTCTGGCAATATATACATTGTGGTGTTGGGAATTGAACCCAGGGCCTTGTGCATGCTGGGCAAATCCACAACTATTGAGCTATTCTTTCCAGCCCCTTTATCACAGTATTAGTGGTTATCTAATTCATTGGTATTTCTTTTTCTTTCATTTTACTTTCAACTGTTGTTGTTAAATGTGTTCCTTAAACAGCATATAATGAGTGTGTGTTTTTAAATCTAGTCGTAATTCTTTCTTTTGACTGTAACTTAGTTCAGGTAATGGTATGCCTGGGTTTAGATCTACCTTATTACTTCACACCTTCTGTTCAACACGTCTGCTGTGCATTGTTTTCTTCCTTCCTTGACTGCTGTCCTCTCCCTCACACTTTTACTATAATTTAGGTGGTTATTCTGGAGGTCATGTGCATCCTCCACTCCTGCCACCTGGGACCTGCCTCTTTCTGCAAGAAGCAGGTTTGCAGCATTTCCTTTAGTGCTGGTCCACTTGCTGGTGGACAGGTCTCAGTTGCTGCAGGTATGACCATGCCTTATCTCTCCCTCATTCTTGAAAGATGGGAATATCCTTTTTCTCCCTCAGCACAATTGAAGGCATCCTTGAGTCTTTTTTTTTTTTTTTTGGGGTATGGAGATTTTGAATTCAGGGGACTCGACCACTGAGCCACATCACCAGCTCTATTTTGTTTTTTATTTAGAGACAGGGTCTCACTGAGTTGCTTAGCATCTTGCTTTTGCTGAGGCTTGCTTTGAACTCGCAATCCTCCTGCCTCAGCCTCCTGAGCCACTGGGATTACAAGCATTTGCCACCGTGTCTGGATTACTTATTTATTTATGTGTCATGCTGAGGATCAAACCCAGTACCTCACACATGCTAGGCAAGTGCTCTACCACTGAGCTACAACCCTAGTCCATGTTTTCCAATGTTTTATTATGAAAAATTCAAAAGCATGAAACTGTTGAAAGAATTGTAAAGTGATTATGAATGTTATTTAGTTAACACTGTACTGTATTTGCTTTATCATATATCCATCAATCTATCCCTCCCCTCTATCCATCAATCAATCCATCTCTATTGAATGCACTTCAAATACAGTTGCAAATATCAATATATTTCATTCAGAAACACTTTTACATGTATATCAGTAACTAAGTTCAATATTTTCTTTTTTAAAGGTAAAACTGACATGCAATGAAACAAAAAAAATAAATTGAAGGTTCTAAGAATTGAACCCAGAAATGCTTTACCACTGAAGTACATCCTCAGTCCTTTTTATTTTTTTTTGAGACAGGTCCTGCCGAGGCTGGCATCAAACTTGAGACTCTCATGCCTTAGCCTCCCAAATTCCTGGGATCACAGGCATGGCCACTAGGTCTCACTTGAAAAAAACAAATTTTTGACAAGCACACACTCTTATGTAACTCCAATTCCTATCAATATAGAGAATACTGCTGTCACCATGGGATTTTTCCCTGCCCTGTCCATTAACCCTCACCCCATTCACCTGTAGAAGCAATGTTTTTTTCATCACAGATTAGTGTAGGCTGTTCTAGCACGTCACATACATGGGATCCTATGTATTTTTGGTAAGGTCCGTTTTTGTGATTCATGTATTTGTGTGAGCATCTGTAGTCCATTTCTTTTTATTGGCAATATCCCAATTTATCAATGTGATATAGTTTGTTTATCCACTTTCCTGGTGATGGGTCTTGGATGTTCAAGGTTTGGGATACTATAAAAAAAGCTGATCTGACTGACCATTCCCATACAGTGTTTCCATGAACATATGTTTTCATTTTTCTTGGTTGTGGAATTCTCTAGGAGTGGGATCACTGGTTCATGAAGCAGGTGTTCCCTTTTTGTGAGAAGGTGTCAGATGTTGTCAGACTCTAGAGCTTAGCTCTTCTGATGGGTGTGTTATTTTACTGTGGTGCTTTCATGTACTTTTGCTTTACATTTTGAAGGTATGTCATCAGGTACATCATAGGACAGCACTGCCATTTCTTTTTCTTTTCATAGAGATGGGGATTGAGTCCAGGGCCTTGTACACACTAAGTGTGCACTCCACCACTGAGCTACACCCAGCTGGAACTGCCATTCCTGATGTATTGTGTCTTTTATCACTTCATAAGGATCCTTTCTTCCCAATTTCTTTTCATTAAAATCTATTTTTTTTCTGAGATTCAGTTTGTTCATTTCTACTATATGGTAAGCATTTCCTAATGCTTTTACTTTCAAACTTTATCCTTTTAAGTAATGCTTTTATAAATAGTATATTGCTACACCTAAAAACCCAAGTTTACAAAGGCAGGTGCAACGTAGTGAGACATGATCTCATAAAAAAAGCAAGTTTATTCTCTCAC